TTCCGATCTTTTCTTTTTGGAAAAATGCTTTTCAGGGCTCTGTCAGTCAACTCTCGGAACAAATTTCCACTCTAAATGACCGAATGGACGATTTCACGTCCCGCATTGAAGAGCTAAATACCAAATTATCAAGTAGAAAAGTTTCACCAAGTGCGCAAAACATAGCATTACCAGCCGAGACGTGTAACGGGTCAGCCCCAACATCTTACTTCATATCGGGCTTGGGAAACGGGTCTTTAACTGGGCCCAAGCCCATGATATCTAACTCGTTGTCTTCTTCCCAGTTAGCAAAAGAGTCTCCTTTGATGGAAGAGGTATATTTTTCTTTAGTATTTCTTGGTTGGTTTTTGAATATTTTAAATTATTTTTAACTTCTTCAACTGCAGAAGATAGCATATTTCTTGAATATAGCTGGATTTTTTTTTTTCAAGTATAACTTTTGTAGTCTTTAACTTCTCAAGCTTTGAACTTGCTGATTTGTCTCTAATTCTTTCTGTGACAGCTGTCGAGTATTTCACGGGGTCAACGCCAAATCATGCATCAGCTCGACAATCTGAGCAATCTTTTACGAGAAAACATGGGTGAAAAAACAGATCGCGACAGAAAACAAAAGAGAAGTGAAACTTTCGAAAACGAGCAAACTAAAGCTGCGGTGATCCTAGCATCTTTGGCTTTCGGTGGTTTGGGAATTTGTTTGATCAAAGGCTTTTTGTCTCGGACTTGAGAGAGTTATCGCTCGAAATAAACATTTTTCGACATGAAGCTCTTTTTTTTTTTCTTTTCATTTATAAAATCCCACACCACTTGTTTTCTATTGCAACGATGCCCTTCTGATTCGGGAATTCTAGACTTTCTGCACGGGTCGCCTGGGCCTGTGATTCTGAGGTTTTAAGGAACTTTTGTTCTTAAATTGAAGGGTTGTTAGCAAATTTTGTAGTGTTGTGGGGGCCTTTTCTTCTTTAAGTATGAGCTGAAATTGATTGAGGGAAAATTATAATTTGAGAGTGGAAATTGTGGGGATCTTATTATTCTCTCAATTCTTCTTTTGGTTAATTCATCAATCATGATTAGACCATTGCCAAAACTTTGTCATGTTGTGAATAAATAGTTTGTTCAACGACAAAAACCCATGAAAGAGACACATTAAGCCAAGAAAAGGACAAAAAGTGGGGGAAATGAAATGAAAATGTTTGGTCATTTTTGTGCTATATTTCATTTCACCTATATGAGAATTTTGTGGGAAGTGTTTTGAACCGTTAGATCATATGTGGGTAGTTTTGAATCATTGGATCATATGCACAAACACATTTCAAATCGTTGTTGTACTCTCCAGGTAAATTAAGCAGTCAATGCAGAAATAACTGTAACATATAAGAAACTGAAGTATAACTAAACTACTAGTGAACAAATTCTTGATAAAAGTGGTTTTAATTTATTGCAAACGCAATCTTCTCAAATTCAAACAAAACCAAACAGATCCAAGACAAAACTCATTAAAGTCCAAAGTACCACCAAACAGCAAAAATTACCCAAAGTCCTAAAAACACAAATTGCAGAGAGAAATGAAATAACCTCTAAAGGCAAGATCTCAAAACGGGCAAACGACGATAACCACACGATTTATTCCGAACAAACTTCAGCCACATGATAGGTCCACCGATCCCCATCTCCTCAAAGCTCCTCTCGTTCAACGAGTAACCTCTCAGGCCCAGCCCATAAACATCCTCAGACAGCCCAACATCATCAAACCCCGCATGCACCGCCAAAGAAAACTCTTTCGGCCCAAAACAATCCAAAACCCTCCCAACCACCAAACCCAAACCCCCATCACTCAAATCATAGCCGGTAGCCTCAAAGCTCGCGTAACTAAATTCCTCTTCAGGCGTAACATGGATAGTCGAGACAGCTGGCCCTTCGATCGAGTTCATCGAGTAACCACAAGGGTCGAACTCAAAATCGCAAATTTTCGATCCCGGGAGAATTTTTCTAATGCCCGACTCGCTAGTCATCCAGGTGGCGGAGCTCGATTGGTTCTTGTAAAAAACCAAAGCTTTTTCTCTATCAAGACCAGTCATGCACATCTCTAACGAGCAAACCGTATTTTTTTCGGGTTTAAAGGAATCGGCACACGAAGTGTAGACGTGCCATTTACGTCGATTTTCGAAACCGCCGATGACGTAAGCTCTCGAGCCGTCCGCGCTGAGCTGGCGAAAGTGTCGGTCGAGAATTTCGACTTCATCGGAAAATTTACGGTGGGGATATGGCTGTGCTTTGGGGAAAATAAAGCTCCCGCGCGTGTATTTCATGGCTCGAGTTTTGAGGGAGAGACTCTCGGCAAATTTCAGTATGGGGGAGATGGAGAGGAGAAGCTTTGTGGTCCCACATGTTTTGATGATAATTTTGTGAGAAAATACGAAAAGGCTTGACTCGGAAAGAACATACGAGTCGACGTGCTCGTTTGATAAGGAAGCTACTATGGTGCATTCGGCGGGTTTCAAGATTTCGTCCAATTGGGCTCGGGAGAGCAAACGTAGGCCCTCGCGAATGGAGCCCGGCCCAGAAAAGGTAATTTCGAGCCTTTTTTCGAAACCTTCGAACCCAATTGACGAGACAGATGAAGACATTTTTTATTTTTTTTTTGTGCGGTGCAAGAAAGAAAAACAGAAGAAGCAATAACTAGGCTAGGAGATAACAAAAAGGCAGATGGGGGAAATGAACAGAAAAGGGGATTTAATTTAGGCTGAAAGTTGAAGACTGAAATAAAATAAATTTAGGACTACGGTATAAGAGTGTCAGGATGGCTTGCGGGCACACTGCAAAATAACGAAAAAAGAAATTTCAGTAGCAATATAGCATGATAATATCAATCAATGAGATGAAAAATAAGAAAGAGAATAAAGGTGGATAGATATATCATAAACGGGACATACGTTGGAGTATGCAGCAGATCTGAACTTCTTGATGCCGCCATTGGGTCGAACGTCTTCAATGCTGTATCCTAAGGGAGCTTCATAGACTAAGGATTTACTACTGGACTTCTTTTTCCCACCTTTAGACTCCATTAGGACATCAACTCTTGGCTGCAAGACAATGTTATGGGGCAAAAGATTAAAGATATGATTGATCATCACAAGTAGAGGACGATTATGAACCACATGATCTGGCACATAACTTTTTTAAGAAAACAAAAGTTGGAATATAGCAAGCTGGATTTTTTATTTTTGTTAAGATGAGAATATAAGCAAAAATACATGGGGAAAAACAGGGAACAAGATGTAGGAAAAGGGTAAAAACTTGTAAAATAATAAATCATCAGAAAGCTACAGCTTTTGTATAGGAAAACACCAAATTGATTTATTGATAAGTAAATTGGTTTTATCTATCTTATAATTTCCTCTGGCAAATATTGAGTTTGTGAACAAATCATTCATTATATCTGCCTCCTTTAAACTCAATAACAGCTTTTCTTGTGCAAATGGATTCAAAGAAAGAAAATTCATTCTTAAAGAAACAGAGAATCACAAGGACATATATAGTAGACATATGACATATTCATTACACTAAAATAAAAAAGGAAGAACAAGAAAGAAAGAACACACGAGAGCTCAACTAGAGAAAACTAAACCAAGAAAGACCAAATTAAACATACCCACTACAACAAAATTCGATTTTGATCAGAAAAATAATCTCGGGAGACCCCAGAAAATCACGTTAGATATTCCTGCAAGCGAAAGCGTACGGCAAAATCGAAAACGTAATTTGTCAAAACATAGGCTAATTAAGCGAAATCACAAGATATGGAGAATATATTCACAGAGAAGATAATTCTTACGAGGGTTGCTGGAGGCGACGATGTGAAAACACAGGAATTGTAAAAGCAGACGATCCTTTTTTGTCTGGTTTTTGGGACTTGATGAGGATGAGAATGAAGGAAAAAAGAGGTCTTGGGAGTATAGTATGGGCTATATATTATCTGATTTTGTGATCTTTTACATTTTTATTGATCTGATCGATCTGGGCCGTTGAAAATTTGATTAATTTGCATGGTAAAAATACTCACTCCTATTTTTATTATTTGTAAAACAACAAGTTAATTAAGATTTTTTTTCTTATTTAATGGATGTTATCAGAACAATGAAGATGGATATGAAGAGACACTGTATATTAGATAAAGGGTTAAAAATGAAAAAATATGAACAAAATAGCCAAAACGACATTTATTTAATCAATGATCAATTAAATCAGAGTGACAAATAATAAAAATAGGTTTGAGTACAAAGCAGTCTTTTGACTCTAAAATTACTATGCAACGTGGAAAACTATTGTTTAACATGATTTTGATTTACTTATTTAAATCTTTTAAATTATATAATAACTTAATATTCAGTTAACATGAATATTATATTATTTTGAATTTTACTAAAAATTTAAGATTTCAAGCACTGTAATTAATAAATTATTAAATGTTTTTTTCAATTTTTATAATTTGTGCAAATCTTAATATCATAAATATGATGATTTTTCTTGTCAATATATTCACTAGTGTAGTGGTTTCTCACGTTCCCCCCAAACGTAACCCTACCTTCAACTTCCTCAACGAAAGTTGGAACAAATTCAAAATCAACTCTTCTTTGATGGTCGACAACGAGAAACTCCTTTTCCACTGTGGTCTTACTAAGGGGCCTTATTCGCGCTTGTCTGACGCCGAGCTTGATAGGCTACTTGATTTATTTTTGCTATTTTTGTTTGTCTGTCAATTAATTGTAACTTTTGTATTTCTCTTGTAGAGGATCTCCTTAAGACCATGGGTCGACTTCCTTGAGCTCGAACAGGCGGGAAGGCCCCCTCCACCTCCACCGGCCAGGGCAAGGCGTCACAATCGACGTCCGGTGGTCAGTCTTAAGGGACCTCTTGGTGAGCTTGGTCCCCTGCAGCCAGCTTGCTCCCAAACCTATTGCTCCTCCTCCTTCTCCCAAGCGGTCGACCGCCCAGAAATGGTCGAATTGGTCGAGCCTTTGGCCGCCAAAATTGCGTGACCTCTCAAACATAATTGGCCCTTGCCCGGGCGTATTCGGCCACACATAGTTTCAAAATACCACTCAGAATCACAAACAAATACACTCTCTAAATTTAAAAGTATGTTTGTAGGAAAAAAGAGGAATTTTATTAACAAAGTACACTTGGTGATATATATGTTAGTGCCACATAAACAGGTAGGCATATTAAAATTTATCAATTATGGATAGGGTAGGAGAATCCTATGAATTAAATAAGCAATATAAAAGTATATATGATAATTTAAGAAAAAAAATTAAAATAATTTGTAATAATTTAAAAAGAAAAAGTAAATTATTTTCTTAAAAAATAATATTTATTCAAATCTAGTTATGAAGTATAAAATACTACCACATAAATTTAACCACATGAAGTTTATTATAAGCTAATTAAATAAATTATCATAAACTAAAAGTCCATTCAATTGTATAGGTTGGTGTGAATGACAATGAATCTAATAAGTTGTAAACTTGTAAATAAATGCAAGTTGGAAAACGGAAACGATTAGTCAAGATAGAGGCACATTCATTGATGCGTGTGCATGCAGTGTCCATATCTATATTCAGCATACAATAATGTCAAAGTAAATAAGGCAACAAGGCAAGTAGAGGTGTGTGTTTTGACATGTCATTTTGAATTATATTTCAATACTTCTTGAAACACGAGATTATTATAATTTTTTTTTGTTTTTTTTTTTATTTCATTGAAATCATTAAAAATCTGAGAAGGTAGAATTTTGACAGTGAAATTTTGTATATATAATTTGTATTTGAAATTTTATGTTTCAAAAAATTGGATATAAATTTTTAAAACTCAAATAAATAACTAAAGAATTTTAATATAACAAGACTATTAAATTTTAAAATATTAAAAAAAAATGAATAACCCATGAGTATAAAATATGTAGTCAATATTTAAAATAAATACTCAATAAAATATTAATAATATTTAGTAAGTGATTGTATTTATACATGCACACGTGCGCACGCGCGCGCGCGCGCACACACACACACATATATATATATATATATAATATAAAAGATGTGTTTCAAATAAAAATCAAGTCTTAGCGTCATAACATTAAGAACCGATATTAGTGTTATTTTTAACCAGGATATATTTTATTAAGATAGCAACACAATTTATTTTAATATTTTGTGAAAATGATATCACTATGTAATATTAAAAATAACATCATACATATTTAAAAACAACATCAAAACGGTTCTCACACCAGAACTAATTTTTATTTCAACCAGCCACTATATATGATATATATAAATATATATATATATATATATATATATATAAATATTATTTTGTTGTTACTATCATGTAAAATGATAGAAGAAGCATAAAAAGCTTTGATATCTTTTGATATCTTCCATATCAATGGTAGGAGAATATATTCTCCAAAAAGGGTTTGAAGATAAAAAAAAATATATAAATGGCAGGAGAATATAGTCTCCAAAAAGGGTTTGAAGATAAAAAAAGGTGATGATTGATGATTATGGAGTTGTAATTTGAGTTTTGGTTTTTATGGCGCTCATATGGACACCATGTGGTGCCATAATCTCACGATCCAACGCTTAATATCCATTCTATCAATTCCACAATGCATATTAGGCGTTAGATCGTGAAGATTATGGTACCATATGGTGCCCATATGGACGCCATAGAATTTCTGCATAAAAATACGTTTGAAGAATATTATTGTTTGTCGATTTGAATTAATAATTAAGTAATTAGAAGTGTTCTAAAAGTTGCTAGGAGCGCCTAAGTACTTTGTTTTAACTACCTACAAAATAAAATTATCTCAACTTATAACAAATTCACACACCAAAATCCAAATAATAATATTAATATATATTAAAAAAAATATAAGAACAAAATAATGTAATTAGTATTTAAAAAAATAAAAATAAAAAAACTGAAAAATTGCCGCCGAGCCCGCCTAGGAGCGCCTAAGTCCGCCTATGCCCGCCTAGACGCTGCCTAACCGCCTGGCCGCCGAGCCCGCCTAGGAGCGCCTAGGCACCGCCTAGCCGCCTGGCCGATTTTTCTGCCGATTTGTGCAAATCGGAGGCGTCCAGGCACCGCTTAGTGCCTAGGCGCCGTCTAGGCCAATTTTTAAAACAATGATAATTAGTAATAGAGCTTACGTAGAACATCAATAGCGTGATACATCATCTTCCTAAAGATGATATCGGTGACAAAAACTGGAGGAAAACTGGTGCGGTCCCACTAACATGTACATCATCTTCATAAAGATGATATCGATGACAGAAACTGGAGGAAAACTGGTGCGGTCCCACAAACATGTACATCATCTTCCTAAAGATGATATCGATGACAGAAACTGGAGGAAAACGAGTGCGGTTCCACTAACATGAAGCGCACCATAAGCGGGGAAGCCCCAAGTGGGGTTCCATCCTAAAACCAATTGGTGGAATGAGGAGTAGCTTATTAGACTTATAAGGTGGGTCTATTTTCCATGTATGAACGATGTGGGATAACTCACAAGTGATATTTTGACACGCCCCTTCACTTGTGAATCATTCGAAAGCCCAAGTTCAACTAGGCTGGGTGACGGGTACGTCATCGCACAGTCATCAATAGAATCGACTCTGATACCATGACAGAAACTGGGGAAAAACGGGTGCGGGCTCACTAAACATGAAGCGCACCATGAAGCCCAAGTGGTGTTCATTCCAAAAAACAATTGGTGGAAGAAGGAGTAGTCCATTAGACTCATAAGGTGAGTCTATTTTTCATGTATGAACGATGTGGAACAACTCATAAGTGATATTCTAACAATCGGCATTATGCATTCCCCAAATTGCCACATCAACACCTGTCTCCCATGACCAAAATCTGGAAATTAGCGTTTCATCAGCTATATGAAGTTTCATTTGTGTCGATTTTATCACCAACAGGAGTTTCATCAAGTCGATGTCACCATCCATAGTGAAAAGAATTGCCGCACACGAGTAACTCATCAAGAAATCATGATGATTTTTATTTTTTACCTAGTATAAATTATAATTACTCCGTAAGATTATGAGGTAAAAAAATACATTTGAAAAATACAAGAGAATAATAGACATACTCAAACAATGCAATAAAAAAACGTGTGAACTTAATAAAGCATGCATTTTATTAATCACATTTGTGTATTGTTCCTCTTAATTACGACTCATATTTATTCCCATCATTTGTTGTTTGATTCCATTCCTCAACAAAGAAGATTGGCAAGTGCCCTTTCTCTTCTTGTGTCCCTCCTCACGGGCTTTTGGAGTCGGATAGCATAAATAAAGAGTGAGACACATTTTTGAGTAAAAGTACAAATCTACTTTCATCTAAAATAAAGAATGACGCATATTTTACACTGTTAAATAAGAAAGTTACAAATCTTTATGTTTGCTTAGACATTAAGCACAGTCGACATATATAATTTATTTAATAATAGTAATTTATTTGATCTTTTCCAAGATTCGATCCGCTGTTTAATTAAATAAAATTAATTATATTTTTTTGATGACCATTTTCTTTTTTTTTTTAATATTTTTTGCCTTAACCAAAAAACAATAACATTGATTTATGCACAGTAGTATGCCCGCCCTTTTAAACCTAAGCCGTGACTAACATATTGCAATTGCTTACTTATTAAAAAAAAAATTACTAATCTTTTGCTTTAATATCTGATATATATAGTACTGTGTTAAAGAAAAAAAAAAAATGGATCGTCGCAGATCTATTTAAATTCATTTAATTACCAATCAAGTTTGTAAATGATTTCTTAAAATGGGAAATATGGATTTAAATTCATTTACTAATGATTACCGTCCAATAACCAAATGTTTCATCATTGACATTAAATCAATAGACTACGAACACACCACAAATATATATTTTGATCCTAAGGTGAAAAATCTATACTTGTATAATAAGAATTAACATTTATCCAAAATAGTAGGTCAAATTATGGTCAATGTCGGATTTGCATTAAATATTTTCTAAAACCGGTAAGTTTTTGTCCTTTTCACACTTGTCATGTCCTTTTCGCACATCTAATTAATTCATTAATTACGACATAATTATCATAAATCAACTTGTCATTAATTATGTCCTTTTCACACTTCTCATTAATTATGTCATTTTCACACGTCTAATTAATTCATTAATTATGACATAATTATCATAAATCATTCCATCTGAGGTTTTATCGTTAAAATGTATAGTGATCTGTTATGACCTTATCCCAGCGTCCAGCATTATATTTTTTGGTAACCACTCTATATCAATAACTGGATATTTGGTTAATGATAGCACACGTCTTTATTTCAAGGAGCGGATATTCTTTGACCTTTAATTAATCTGAACTGATTGCCTTGACTTTTCAATTTTTAAAAACTCTTTTTTTAAGTATTTCAGCTTAAGATTCGAATTTCATTATACAAGTCATCGGATTGTTTGAATGAAAATGAATGAAAAGAACACCAAAAACAGGTAGCCTTATTCATATAACAAATCCTAAAATATTAGTTTGTTCACCAAAAAGAGACAAATCCTAGAAATCCTAAAATATTAGTTTGTTCACCAATCTAAAATATTAGTTTGTTCACCAAAAATATTAGTTTGATTTTTAGGATTTGTCTCTTTTAAAAATATTAGTTTGTGATAATGAGGAGTTACCAAATAATCAAACTCATAATGTTGTGTACAAGGAGGTTTTTAATTATATATGATTGTTACCGAACTTTTTATGATTCAACAATGTTCCTATGTATTTTAATAATTTCAATTTCGATCCTAATGCACGTGAGGTTATATTATTATTCCAAATTTTACATTCCGTGCATCGCACGGGTTATGTACTAGTCTGGTGCAATTTGAAATACACTCGTAAAATGTTACTATCATATATCATAATATCATTCTCCATATTTCTATTCTATGAAATTGTATAATTTCCAAATCTCGAGGATATTATATTTCACAAATGGCCTTTCATTTAAAAAGAGAAATGAAATAACATAAACGCGTTGTTATATATTTAGCAATACTTCTCTTTTTATTATGGCATTTAATTACATTTTACGATGTTTTTTTGTAAAACAATTTTTTAGTTAAATTAAATCTTCTAACAATAATCATACAAATTTGTGCAGTGCCACTACAAAAGCACCGTTTCCAGTTCATCCTTCACCCTTTTTTCGAAGCTTTAAATCAAGAGGGAGCCCTTAAACCCAGTTGCTCTCTGCGTTTTTTATTTGTTATTTATTTATTTATTTATTTATTTTTTTCGCATCCTCATCTGCCTTCTCTCTCAACGGATCAATCTCTGNTTGTTTTTCGTGATATATGCATAAGTACACAGATTTACATATTCATTTTGAGTTTATGCCTTTGTTTGATATGCGCTGTTCGATTCGCATCGCCGTCAGCTCGTTTATTGGGATTTTTAACCATTTCTCTTCATTTTTGCGTGAAACGATCTTTGTTTTCTTGGCGCAGGCTTTACAGATTGTACGGCTTTCTGATCTCAGGTGTTATTGTAATTTAGTGATAATCGAAAGGAAAAAAGGGGAGAAAATGGGATACATAGGTTCCCATGGGATTGCGGCTCTGCATAGGTACAAGTACAGTGGGGTGGATCACTCTTATTTGGCCAAATATGTTCTGCAGCCCTTTTGGAGTCGCTGTGTTAATTTCTTCCCTCTTTGGATGCCGTAAGTTCAGATTTTTTGTTGCTTTTACATGCTTCCTGTTTATGGGTTTGGTACTTTTGTTGTCTGTTCTTGGTGATGGTCGTGCAACTTTGTGTGATTGTAATTTACACATACACATTGGTGTTCCTCATACTTGAAGGCTGAGAAAACGTAATAGTTATTGACTATACTATACTGGTTTTTTGATAAATTGAAACTAAAGCCATTTTAGTTAGCAATGGTGTAAACTTTTGCTGATTACAGAACTTAGTTTGGTATTTTTGGAGTCTGAATAATAAGGGATTGTGTAAGTGCGAAACAATTGTCAACTGTCACAAATTTACAGAGGTTAAATATTTCGATACTGTCTACAGAACGGTTGCAAATTTAGGGGTTCAACAGTTAAACTGAAAGAGATATGTTTCACTGTCACAGTACGGAGTTTCAGGCAGCCAAACAACTACGTTGTGTGCCAGATTCTGATCAGCCTTTACTTTCCAGCGAGAATACCTGAACTTGTTAACCAGGTCTAGAGTTAAGTGCTTGCTAACATAGCATAGCGAAAACATGAAATCGCGATTGAAGTTTTTTCATTTCCCCATTGTCAATTTTCTGAGTCTTACATCTTTCCCAACCTTAATCGTAAGAGGTCAGTCCTTGCGCCAAAATGAGACTACCAAATTAATTTGGTTGATCCACCTTTCACGATTCATTTGCAGAGGATGAACAAATTTTACCCTTCATGCAATTAAATATTAATGGATGTTTGATGACATTGCTAGTTGAAGAAAGGTTTTAAGTATCGACCTGCGGATTTCATATCATTCTCTCAAACCCCTTATTTTATGTGGTATTTAATACAAATTGTCATTAATTATCCTTTTTTTCCTCTTTGTGCATGTACTGGAGACAGACCCAACATGGTAAGTATTCTTCCAGTAGATCTTTTTTATTAGGTATTATCTCCCCCAGTCTTTGCTCATAGCTAATGTTGCATGTTTTTGTTGCCAGATTACACTTACGGGATTCATTTTCTTGGCTATATCTGCATTACTTGGATATGTGAGTGAACCTTCTCTCTCTATATATATCTGTCTCCCTCTTATACGAAGACTGAATGGAGTATCCATTTCATGATTATATTGATCACAGTTTGGACTATAATCCTGTCCACTGTTATTTCATTCATTAGACTTTAGACACTCTTTTGAGCTTAATGCATTGAACTATTTTTGCTACATACAAATCTTTAAATATTCAATATTTAGTAGAATTTGGAAGTTTAGAGTAACTTCCTTAGTCTTACTGACATAAAAATCCTCTCTTGATAGTCCTCTGCCTTTTCAGGATCTATTTCAAACCTATATCTTTGTGTCTTAATTCATACAGATTTATTCACCTCATTTGGATTCACCTCCGCCAAGATGGGTGCATTTTGCTCATGGATTGTTGCTCTTCTTGTATCAAGTATGCTCAAGCTTATTCTCTTCTGTATTTTGGCATATATAATGTTTTATGATTAGACAATTAATTATATAAAACAGAGTGACTGAATTTGTTATTTTCTTTTAAACATATTTTCATTGAGCTCTGTTCTGGAGCTCTTTGTATAACAGATTTTGGAGTTTTCTTTCAGTATGTATATTATTGTGAGCACACAACCTATCTCTACAATCTCCACTAACCTATCTTTACAATCACCACTTTGTTTTCTGGAAATTTGCTCTAGACTTTTGATGCAGTTGATGGAAAACAAGCTAGAAGAACAAGTTCCTCTAGTCCATTGGGAGAACTTTTTGATCATGGTGATTATTTCCTCTCTGAGTTATTATTAATAATTGTTCATGTTGGTTTCAATTCTTTTTGTTCATTTATTTAAACTGACAATGATCTCATAAACTTCTATCCTGTTAAAATTGCAGGTTGTGACGCTCTTGCATGCGCAGTATGTTTTGGACTTTTTTTGTTTTCTCCTTTTTTCATTTCTTATTAAAATTTTCAAATGTTGTAATTGTGTTGCCTGAAACTTTTCTAGCTTGAGGCGTTGGCCTTTGGAAGCACTGCTATGTGTGGACGCTATACCTTCTGGTTTTGGGTTATATCTGCTGTTACTTTCTACTGTGCTACATGGGAACAGTAAGTTGGTTTTCTGCTCCTTCAGTCTCGTGTCTTCATGAGCATAATGTCATCACATCTTCTAAGATGCAAAATTTTGGCCACCTTGGTTTACTGGTATTATGTACATAACTTTCTGACAAAATTGCTCGTGGTAACATTCTATTTTTTTTTTCCCGTTTCATCCAGATATGATGTACATCGTGTACTCAGTTTTATTTTAGAAACAATAGCGAAGATCTAGTTGTTTGTTTTTGCTTATTATAATGCAATTGGATGATTAATTAATCAGGATATGCATTAGATGTTTCTTTGGTTTACCATAGTAGCTAATGGCATTCTGATTGATATTTTATGTGCTGTTTTTCTTGCGCTCTGTTATCACGGTTTTGTAGTCTAAAAGTGTTCATTTTTTGTTCTTCAAAATCTCTGTCTACTTGATATACTTGGTCGACATTCCTAATACTTAAGCTTTTGTGTTTTTTGTACAGCTATTTTACCAACACGCTCATCCTTCCTGTTATAAATGGACCTACAGAGGGCCTTGCATTGATATACATGAATCATTTCTTTACAGCTTTTGTTGGTACTATTCTCACCTTTTTCCATATCCGGAGCTTTTTTAGTTAATCAATGAACAACAAGAGAGAGTGAATGATTTTATTTTCAGGTGCTGAGTGGTGGGCACAATCTTTTGGAAAATCCATTCCATTCCTGAGTTGGTTGCCCTTTATAAGTGGTAAGTCTTGTAACTTGTTACAGCTTTAGTGATAGTAAATTAAGATAAATTTCATCTTTATTTTAATGCTGTTAGTTTCTACTTAAAATTTAAATTCAATCCTTCCTATTTATTTGGTTGTAGCCTTTCTTACATGGTGTATCAACAAATCTTATGTTTTCTCACTACATGTGTGTACACAAGTACATATACATTTTTTAATCAGCTCTCATCTTTTTTTTTTCGTGCAGAGATCACCATGTACAAAGCTGTTTTATTTCTTATGATAACTTTTGGCGTCATACCAACAGTCGCATGCAAGTAAGTATACACTCTGAAGGTTCTTTCCCTTTCTATTTTTTGAAGAAATTACCAGTTATCAACCTTAAGTTCTCTACTAACTTGTGAAACTGTCAATTTGGCTTTATGATGCTCTAATATCCATTTAATATTCGTGTATGCTTTCGAATACTCATGAAGAGTATGGAAATTTTGAAACAGACCCTGTTTTTTACTTGGTCTTCATACTTTTGATGGGATTGACAATAAACGTGCTTTTGTGCAGTGTGAACAATGTTCATCAGATTGTTAAAGCAAGAAAAGGAAATATGCTGCTAGCTCTGGCTATGGTAAATCTACTTATCACACAAAATACACATTTATCAATTCCCACTTTCTGAAAAATGACATCTTCCTCTTTTTTTTTTTTTTTTTGGCAGCTTTATCCTTTTGTTGTGCTATTAGGTGGAGTTCTTGTGTGGTAGGTCTTGATCTATCATGATCACATGTATTTTATCTTTTAGTGTTAATGTCTAATATTTGGTATATCTCGACAGGGATTATATATCTCCCAGTGATGTAATTGGCAACTATCCCCATCTGGTCGTATTGGGTAGTGGGCTCGCATTTGGGTTTCAAGTGGTACGACATAAATTCGCATTCATTTATTCATTTATTTGTATAATTTTCACCTACTCGATTTAATTTTAATAGAAGTATAGAATGTTTTGAAGGAAATCACATTTTTTATGATCCTTTAATTCATCTTCCTTGTGGAAAATAATAATGCTCTTTATTATGAGCATTTAATGGCATGTGCTTATTTTTTACGGTAAAAAATTGTCTTGTAGGGAAGGATGATTCTTGCGCATCTGTGTGATGAACCTAAAGGCTTGAAAACAAACATGTGTATGGTAAGAGCGACATTGAAACAAATTATGTAGCTGAATATGAAGATTCTGGATTATGCTTCGAACTTCCAAAAATAAAAAGAAAATGAAAAAAGAAATGATTCTTTGCTCTAGAATCTTTGAAATTTGTTGAGTGTATTGATGCAAGTTAAACCTCATTGGTTGTGACATTCACTTTATGTTTTTGATTTCGTGCAGTCATTGTTTTATCTGCCTTTCGCCATTGCAAATGCTCTCACTGCTTTGCTAAATGATGGGTACATGATTATTTTCATTCATTCAACTGTTGATTTACTTCACTGTTATTTTCCCTCTCTTATTTACTTTTTCTTTTTTTAACTCAACTTTCATTGCTATTTTTACCTCTTATCTTTACTCTTTTTTAGCTCAACCTTCGACTTTTTAACACTTGCAATATTTTCATGTTATTGCAGAGTTCCTTTGGTAGATGAGTTCTGGGTTCTTCTTGGTTTCGTTGTATACACAGGTATCGACATTTCTGCACGGACATAGTCGAAATATATTTGCTTGGTTGTCCGCAAAATCTACCAAATTCGCATTTGGTCCACATTTTTTTTTTTTTTTTCATATTCT